ATATCCATTTGCAGAAAAATGAAACAAGATCTGTACCTCACACCATACACAAAAACAAACTCCAGATGGATCAAAGACTTAAATGTGAAACCTAAAACTAAGTTCCCCAAGGAAAAAACAGGGGCAAATTTAGAAGTCCTGATATATGGCACAAATAGACTACCAAGCATAACCCAAAATGCACAAACAGCAGATGATAAACTAGATAAATGGGACCTTCTAAAAATTAAATTTTTATGAGCTTCCAAAGACTTCTCCAAAGGAGTCAAAAGACAACCTACAGATTGGGAAAAAAAATATTTGGCAATGACATATCTGACAAGAGACTTCTCTCTAAAATTTATAGAAAACTCCAACACTTCAACAACAAAAAGACAAATAATCCAATTTAAAAATGGGCAGAACACATGAATAGACACTTCACCAAAGAGGATATTTAGGCAGCCAACAAACATTAGCCATTAGAGAGATGCAAATCAAAACAACAATGAGATACTAACTTGCCCCAGCATTAGTACCAAAGTTCAACAAGACAGAAAACAACAAATGCTGGTGAAGATGTGTGGAGACTGGGGTTCTCACACATGGCTGGTGAGACTGTAAAATGATACAACCACTGTGGAAAGCAATATGGCGATATCTTAAAAAGATGGAATTAGAAATGCTATTTGACCCAGCTATTTCATTACTAAGTATATATCCTAAAGAAGTGAGAGCCAGGACAAGAACAGATATATGCATACCCATGTTCATCACAGTACCATTTACAATAGTAAAAAATGAAAACATCCTAAGTGCCCATCAACAGACCAACGGATAACCAAACTATGGTACATCCCCATAATGGAATACTGTGCAAACCCAAAGAATAACAAAGAATCTGAAAAACACTGCATAATGTGGATGAATTTGGAGGACATTATGCTGAGTGAAATAAATCAATCACAGAAGGACAAATATTATATTAGTCTGTCATTGTAAAAAGTCAAGGAAAGGTTTATATATGGAAGGAAATTTTCTTTGTTGGTTAGCAGGGGTGGGAGGGGAGGGGAGGGAACACTGCTAGATAGGTAGAGACAAGTACTGATTTGGGTGAAGGGAAGGGCTACCTAATGTGAGTGATCAACATGGTGGCACTGAGGAAGAGGAAGACAGAGATAGGTGCATGAAAGTATAGACAACAAAGATGAACCCTTTTGCATATACAGTATTGTGTTGTCAGTGGAGGCAAACGTTGATATACAGGTGGACAGATGGGTGGATAGGCTGAACAATTAGGTATATCTATGCAGGGTGGAGTGTGCCCATGACCATGTATGAGGTTGGCAGAAAATGTTTGTACAAGTGTATTTGTATGTTCTATAATAATTCCCAGGTATATAGTAGAGCTGACAAAGGACAAGGATGTATCCACTTCTTGGCCATAGCCAGCTACCCAGAGGGAGTGAGAAGCTGGACTTGTGGGCTCGGGACCATGGTCACAGGGGATATCAAGCTCAAGTGGCATAACATACTACACAAAAACATCGTTCCACATCCTACTTTGGCTAGTAGCAACTGGGATCTTAAAAGCTTGCAAGCAGCCATCTAGATGCAACAATGGGTCTCTCCTCGTCCAGAGCAAAGAAGAATGAAGACAACCGAAGAGGCAGGGAAACAATTAGTCCAAGGGACTGGTATACCATGCAATCCTCAGCATATAAGACTATGAGACCAGAAGAACTAGATGGTGCCTGGCTACCACTGTCAACCACTCATAGGGGGATCTATGTAGGAAATCCTAGATAGAGTGGGAGAACAAAGTGGAACAAAACTCAACATCATACATCATACAAAAAAAATGGACCAGGTTTGCTTGTCTGATAGAATCTGGTGGAACCCCTGAGACTATGGTCCCTAGCTGCCCTTCAGGTCTGGAATTGAACCCACTCCTGTGGCTTTCAGCCAAACAAAAGACAGACATATAAGTTGAACATTTACATTAGGTAAATACACCTCTTGTAGAGATCAAGGGAGAATAGAAGGGCTGTGTACACACAGGAAGATAGCTCAGGGGGCAGGAGTATATGAGAGGGAAGGACACAGGAAGAGGTAACTATAGGGAGGAAGTGGAAAGAGAGCTGTTGCATTATGGGAAATTACAGTCAATGTCATGAAACAAAGTGTATGTGAACTGCTGTATGGAAGACGAATTTGCTCTGTAAACTTACCCAAATCACCATAAAAATTAAAAAAAAAAAAGAAATTCAACAAAAAGAAGAAACTTCAGCAATAAGGATCTTATAGAGAAATCCCAAACCTATAGCAAAATTTTAAGTAAAAATAACTGAAACAGGGTAAAAAGATCTTTAAAGAAAATAATAAAATGTACAAATGAAGAACTAAAAATAAACTTTAAAAATCTCTAGTGAAGTTTTTATCGAAAGATAAGAAAACTAGGACTTGGCAAAATCATGTGACTTTTAAGGTAATTAAGAAATTAGTGATATGTCTCTAAGAAGCCTTGCTGGTGCAATGATTAACTGCTCAGCTGCTAACTGAAAGATCATTGATTCAAACACACCAGCCACTCCTCAGGAGAAAGATGTGGCAGTCTGCTTTTGTAAAGATTTACAACTCTGAAAACCCTATGGGGCTTTTCTATTCTGTCCTATATGGTTCCTGTGAGCTAGAATAAACTAGTGACAGTAGGTTTTGGATCTTTTACTGCAGGCTGTAAGTGCAATGGAACCGATCATCTCAAATATGCTGTCTCTCTCTGTAAGAAGGAGGTGAATGTAGACAGTATTTTCTATTACCCAACAGGTATGAACAATCAAGTTTGCTTTGCTTTGATTTCCCCAGTGCACTTGTTTCCATTGCACCAGCCAGGTAGAACATGGTAAGCACTGCCATCTTAGACTAGTTTCACTTGGCATTTTAAAACTGACAGGAAAAGGCATTGTTCAGAAATTACTTTGGCATGAAAGTTGTTCAGTGCTATTTTCTACACGGTAATTCTCACCAAAATAAGTCCAAGTTATTAGTAAACATTATAAGGAAACTATAGGGAGTCGCTGGGTGGGTGGCACAAATCGTTAAACACTTTACTATTAACTTAAAGGTCAGAAGTTTGAATCCACCCAGAGGTACCTGGGAATAAAAGCCTGGTGATCAACTTCAGAAAGGTCAGAGCCTTGAAAACTCTATGGAATACGGTTCTACACTGCACACATAGGTTGCCATGAGTCAGAGTCAACTCAACAGCAACTGGTACAGGTAGAGACATTATTCAATATAGTATTAGAAATTCTAGCATAAATTTACAGTCTTTCCTTACCTTAGCATTTTCAATGCAGGGGCAGAGGGCCCATGCTGCACTGGCCTTCACGTCTGGGTGGGGGTTTTTCAGCAATGACCACAACAACCGAACACCATCTAAGCGGTCAATTATCCTATTTGAAAACATAATGATATAAAGTGTATAAAATGCATAAGTTGTAATTAGTTGGTAAAAATGAAAATTTACACGGTCTACCTATTTACATGATTTATCTATTTTTCTCAACATTTTGCTTGTGTTTTTTGCAAAACTTTAAGAACAGCATGGATATAACATGCTTTTGAATGGTCAGTTCCCTGATTACAGCTTTAAATTCATGACATAGCAAGCAAGCTGCATGATAATTATGAGCCATGTAAACTTAAAATCAAGCCATGTCATTTTGTAATTAGCTGGACACAAACTGCTACCTAAATTTAAAAATGGCCCTTTTCACATCGTAACATCTAAGTACTTTCCAAAACAAATATTTATGCCTCAAAACTGTGCAGTTACCTTTTTTATATGGTCTAGGCTTAATTTACTCACTGTGCTCTATGACATATTTTAAACTCCTTCAGTCCTAATCTAGCATTAGGAATTAAAATCATTACACCACAGTGCATCCTTTGTTGGGCATGAATAACACATAACTTGTTTTCCATGTGTTCCCTTACCAGCAAGACTAACATTGCATACTGTGTTGTAATTACTTAAACACACGGTAATCAAAATATCTTCATGACTAGCTGAAAAATGAATTATCATCAGAGTCATCTCTACAGCATCTGTCTTCTGTTTATATATCAATCAGTCCAGGGAGCATAACCTCATATTAAGGTCCATTGAGTACTTTCAGTTGAGAGGAAGACCAAACAAAACTTAATATTCTTTACAAACATGGCTTTGTTCAGAAAGCAATGTTGAATGCAAAGCAGAGGAAAAAACACAAAGAACATCAAAATTCTTTGATTTTCAATCTCAAGTTGAGTTAAACACAAGTATTATTTAACCACAAATATGATAAATACTATTAGCTTAAAATGCCATTCAAATTCTTTCCTGAAAATTGATGTAAAAACATCTACATTTCTTGATTATCTGAAATGAGTTTCCCAGAAAAAGAGAGGTGGATTATTCCAAAGGTTCCAAGTAGAATATCAGCTTTGCATAGCCTTATAAAACAAGGATGCAAATAACCCCAAGTAAAATATAAACTCTTAAAAAAAAAAAAAGACTTTTAATAAGACAAAAAGCACATTTTAACCTGATAGTATTTTAACCTGATAAAATAGATAGTATTTTAACCTGAAGTTTAACTAAACATCTTTGTTAATTTTTAAAGTTTTCTGTCATATAATGGAAAAAAGTTTTCTTTCTTAATTATAAAAATCATTTTATATGAAGAAATACACTGAGCATTACACAATGAAAATTTACTTTAAAATTAAGCTAAAAATTCTGTCTTACATATGCCACTGAAAATATAGTTAATGCTATCCTAGAGGTCTCTACATATGTTTTCACATTTCAAGTTCATAATGAATGGTAAGTCTGTCCTATACTCTCACAAGTTTTAACAGTAAAATTTACATTAGTAACATTTATCTATACATTGCTGGACATAATTTCACATTAGAATAAAAGTCATTAACATTTTCTGGTTAACAATAACAATAAAAAAGAATAATTCAATTCTGGACCTCCTTGGAAAAAATTTCACATTTAACTAAAAATTCGCTGTATGTATTGAAAAAATAGTTCTGTTTGTCCTACATGCTTATCCCAAACCCTAGGCAATTCATTAATTAGCTGCTTAGTTATAATGATGAGGATTTTATACCCCATTTAAAAACAAAAAGCAAAACTCACTGCCATGAAGTTGGTTCTGACTCATAGCTACTGCCTTTGGGTTTCTGAGGCTGTATTTCTCTTTGGAAGTAGATTGCCCCATCTTCCTTCTGCAGAGTGGCTAGTGGGTTTGAACTGTTGACCTTCTGATGAGAAGCCAAATGCCTTATCCACTACGCCACCAGAGCTCCTTTTTACCCCATTACTGGTGTCTTAGAAAAGACTCTGCACAGTAGAGTAACAAGTTTATATTAAAAAGTATTTTTAAATGCAGAACTAACAAAGTCAGAGGTACCATCAGGAAACAGCAAACTAAACTGTGTCTTTTCCATTTCTTCTGTATCAAATCAGCCACTACCAATTTTTACTTCATAATAACTCCAGTATCTGTCCCTGCTTCTTTCATTCTCCCTGCCAACACCCAAATCCCTTTACTGTCTCCTATCATCATATACCATGTGGAATGCCAAAAGAATGAACAAATCCATCTTAGAAGAAATCAGGGCTTTGAAGCAGTTCATTCCAGTTTGACTTCCCATCCTGAGAATTTGCATTTCCACTCCAGATATCTTGAACCACTACCACTCGTCTGTCAGTTTGTCATACTGCGATGACTTGCATATTGCTGTGAGGTTGGAGGCCATGCCACCGGTATTTCAAATACTAGCAGGGTCAACCATGGTGGACAGGTTTCAGCAGAGCTTCCAGACTAAGACAGACTTGCAAGAATGAAGTGGCCATCCAGTTCCCAAAGAATTGGCCAGTGAAAACCTTATGAATAGCAGTGAAACACTGTCTGATATATTACTGAAAAACTTTATGAATAGCCCTGATACACTGTATTATATAGTGCTGGAAGATGAGCCCCTCAGGTCATAAGGCACTCAAAATATGACTGGGGAAGAGCTGCCTCCTTAGAGCAGAGCTGACCATAATGATGTAGATTGAAAAAAGCTTTCAGGACCTCCATTTGCTGATGTGGCATATCTCAAGATAAGAAGAAATAGCTGCAAATATCCATTAATAATTGGAACATGGAATGTAAAAAGTATGAATCTAGGAAAATTGGAAGTTGTCAAAAATAAAACAGAATGGATAAAGACAATATCCTAGGCATTAGTGAGCTGAAATGAACTTTTTTTTGGCAATTTAGAAGCAGACAATCATATGATCTACTATGCCAGGAATGACATCTTCAAGAGGAATGACATTCATCATTACAAAGAATGCTTTAAGATCTATCCTGAAGTACAATGCTGTCAGTGATAGGACAATATTTATATGCCTACAAGGGAGATCAATTAGTACTACCATTATTCAAATTTACACACCAACCACCAAGGCCAAAGATGAGGAAATTGAAGATTTTTTTACCAACTTCTGCAGTCTGAAATTGACCAAACATGCAATCAAGACATGTTGATTATCACTGGTGACTGGAATGCAGAAGTTGGAAACAAAGAAGAATCACTGGTAGTTGGAAAATATGGCCTTGGTGATAGAAATAATGTTGGAGATCACATGATAAAATTTTGCAAGACCAATGATTTATTCATCGCAAATACCCTTTTCAACACAAACAGTGGCTATACACACAGACTTCACCAAATATAGCACACAGGAATCAGACTGACTACATCTGTGGCAAGAGACAATGGAGAAGCTCAATATCTTCAGCCAAAACAAGGCCAGGAGCTGACTGGGACAGACCATCAACTGTTCATATGCAAGTTCAACTTGAAGCTGAAGACAATGAAAACAAGTCCACAAGAGCCAAAATATGACCTTGATTATATCCCTCCTGGATTTAGAGACCATCTAAAGAATATATTTGATGCACTAAACATCAATTACTGAACACCAGATGAATTGTGGGATGACATTAAGAATATCATCCATGAAGAAAGCAAGAAGTCATTAAAAAGAAAGGAAAGGAAGAAAAGACCAAAATGGATGTTGGAAGAGACTCTGAAACCTGCCCTTGAACAGAGAGTAGCTAAAGCAAATGAAGAAATGACAAGATAAAAGATCTGAACAGAAGATTTCAAAGAGCAGCTCAAGAAGAAAAAGTCAATTATTATAATGAAATATGCAAAGACCTGGAGTTAGAAAACCAAAAGGGAACGACACACTCAGCATTTTTCAAGCTGAAAGAACTGGAAAAAAAAAAAAAAAAAAAATTCAAGCTTCGAGTTGCATTATTTAAAGATTCTAGGGACAAAATATTGAATGAAGCAGCAAACATCAAAAGAAGATGGAAGGAATACACAGAGTCAATGTACCAGAAATAATTGGTTGATGTTCATCTATTTCAGGAGGTGGCATATGTAGTCAAGAACCAATAGTATTGATGGAAGAAGTGGAAGCTGCACTAAAGAAAGTGGCAAAGAACAAGGCTCCAGGAACTGATAGAATACCCATTGAGATGTTTCGGCAAACAGATGCCATGCTGGAGGCACTCACTCATCTATACCAAGAAATTTGGAAGACAACTACCTGACCAATGGACTGGAAGAGATCCATATTTATACCCATTTCAAAGAAAGGTGATCCCACAGAATGTGGATATTATTGAACAATATCATTAATATCACATGCAAGTAAAATCTTGCTGAAGATAATTAAAAAATGTTGCAGCAGTGTATTGACAGGGAACTTCCAGAAATGCAAGCTGGATTCAGAAGAGGATGTGGAACAAGGGATATCATTGCTGATGTCAGATGGATATTGGCTGAAAACAAAGAATACCAAAAAGATGTTTTCTTGACTATGCAAAAGCATTCATTTGTGTGGATTTTAACAAATTATGGATAACATTGAGAAGAATGAGAATTCCAGAACACTTCATTGTGCTCATGAGGCACCTGTACATAGACCAGGAGGCTGTCATTCGAACAAAACAAGGGGATACTACATGGTGTAAAATCAAGAAGGGAGTGTGTCAGGGTTGTATTCTTTCACCATACCTATTCAATATGCATGCTGAGCAAATAATTGGAGAAGCTGGACTATGTGAAGAAGAAATGTGGCATCAGGATTGCAGGAAGAGTCATTAACAACCTGTGATATGCAGACAACAAGGCTTTTCTTGCTGAAAGTAAGGATGACTTGAAGCACTTACTGATGAAGATTAAAGATACAGTCTGCAGTATGGATTACATCTCAACATAAAGAAAACAAAAATGTTCACAACCAGACCAATAAGCAGCATCACAATAAATGGAGAAAAGATTGAAGTTGTCAAGGAATTCACGTTGCTTGGTTCCACAATCAACACCAAAG